TACCTTCAAGCTTTTAAGACCCCAGACGCTATATCTTTTGATAGCCGGGCACCATCAGCTTTCTTCACCACATTTGCTTATTCACCCGCTTTGTCATCAGCGGTTGTGTCGGGAAGGTGAGCATCATAGAATGCCAATTTACTAGAAGAAAGTATTCTTGTGTTGAGGGAGTACTTGCCTGCTTCTACTTTTAATCTGAACTATCCAGAAGAAAAACTGCATTTCCCAACCGCACTTGCTGTTCATGCTCTAGCCAATATGGTGTGAGCAGATACGACATCTGTGACCATTGGGTTGTTCCACTGGGATTTATTTAGGAGTATGTCCTTTTCTTCTACCTTGCCAATAGAATGCAGGTGTGGTAATAAATAATGCAGGAGCAACTGTAAAAATGAGGCTGTACACTTGGGATATCTGAGTAACAATAGAGAAGGTTACTAGGTTCCCTTACAATTTTACAGAGCAAAATCACTATATTAACACAGACTACTGAGAGAAAAAACACCACATTTTGTACACCACTATTATTTTGAAGTTCTGATATATGCTGCCAATCCTTTATCTTCTAATTTCCTCAGGCTTGGTATAATGTGGGGTAATATTTACAGCCACCTCAATGATTATTGTGAAGATTAAAAACTTTAAATGAAAAGAAGAAAGCTGACTGTGGATATTAGGCAATCCATTAAGTTAATACTCTCACCAAATAATTTGCTTCCTTATGCCACCTGTGTGTGGGAAATTCCCCGCAAAATTACAAGTTATAAAGCTTTGAACTTGAAAAAAATAGATAAAACAATACATGGTAAGCTAACAAATGTTGTAGATCTGCTTTGCTGTAACTTACATGCTGTGATTGATGTTATACTGATTCTCACTGTCAAGTTCCTGGCTACAGGATTCACATCTTTTCCAGCCATCTTCCGTTTTAATCCAACTCCATCCAGGAGATCTCCAGTCCTGACCCAAAAATGGCATAGTTCTCCTATTAAAAAGTTAATTTTTGTTAAAAGTGTATATATAGTTAACAAAAGTTTATTTTCATTTAGAATGTTTATTCATTCATCTTAAAGGATAAAGTTGATTAATATTTAAAGATCTGATAAACTTTAATGTCAAAATAATTTGGTGCCTTGGTTGTGCCAAAGTGCTAAAATAGGAGTAAGCACTGGTGGATTCACCAGTCTAATACTGCACATGCCATGAAAATGTCATCAAAAGCGACAGATTATACCAAGGAGTACTGGTGGCTTGGCGGTAAAAGAGCTCAGCTGCTAGGCAAAAGTTAGGCAGTTCAAACCCACCAGCATTCTGTGGGAGAAAGATATGGCATCTGCGTCTATAAAGATGTACAGCTTTGGAAACTCTATGGGGAAGTTCTACATCAGGTAGAAATGCTATCAGTGGAAGGCATCAGCTGGTTTTGGACAACTTATATCAGAAGAACAGGGAGGATGGAAAGAGAAGAAAGGAAGAATAGGAAATATTGTTCTAAATAGTAAATGTTTTCTCTTAGCAGGTAGAAGAAATATCATTTGAAAGATATTCACTAAATGTAAATAGTTCAACTTGGAAGTTTGAGTTGAAGAGATAGAGTGGGAAGTGGCTAGACAAAAGAATGAAGAAGTTATTGAAGTCCAGATAATGTCAGAGGAGTTGGATTTTACTCTCAGGTCAATCAGGTGGGCCAGTAAAGAGAGTGAGCAAGGAAGAAATCTAGCTCTGAAGCAACAAACCCCACAGGGAAAAGCACAAGAGATGTTAAAGGGATCAGGTAGCAGACACCACAGAACAAAAAACCATCATTGTGTGCTCACCTTCCCCATATAAATGCTGAAGACAAATGTGTGCATAAGTAAGTGTGGTGAAGAAGGCTGATGGTGCCTGGCTATCGAGAAATATAGTGTGGGATCTTAAAGGCTTGAAGGTAAACAAGCGGCCATCTAGCCCAGAAGCAATGAAGCCCACATGGAAGAAGCACACCAGCCTATGTGATCATGAGGGGTCAAAGGGACCAGGTATCAAGCACCAAAGAACAAAAAATCATATCATCATGAATAAGGGGGAGTGCAGAGTGGGGACCCAATGCCCATCTGTAGACAACTGGACATCCCTTGCAGAAGGGTGGTGGGGAGGAGATAAGTAACTCAGGGTGCAGTGTAGCACTGATGAAACACACAACTTTCCTCTAGTTCTTAAATGCTTCCTTCCTCCAACTATCATGATCCCAATTTTACCTTACAAACCTGGTTAGACCAGAGTATGTGCAGTGGTGCAGACAGGAACTGGAAACACAGGGAATCCAGGACAGATAATCCCTTCAGGACCAGTGCCCAGAGTAGTAATACCAGGAGGGAGGAAGAAGGAAGGGGAGCTAGACAGGGGGGGATGATGACAAGGATCTACATATAACCTCCTCCCTGGGGGATGGACAACAGAAAAGTGGGTGAAGGGAGACGTCAAGACAGTGTAAGATATGACAAAATAATAATAATTTATGAATTATGAAGGTTTCATGAAGGAGGGGGGAGTGGGAAAGGAGGGGGGAAATGAGAAGCTGATATTAAGGGCTCAAGTAGAAAGCAAATGTTTTGAGAATGATGATGGCAACAAATGTACAAATGTGCTTGACACAATGGATGGATGTATGGATTGTGATAAGAATTGTATAAGCTCTCAATAAGATGATTTAAAAAAAATTGATTAGATTTAAGCACTACAAAGTACCGTGGACAGGTAGAGAATGGATAAATGGGGTGGGTGGGGAGGAGGGCAGAATCAAGAAGATAAAAGAATAGTTAGGACTGGAGATTACTGAATGTTGGTTAAAAAATATACAATGGTTGCAATAGGATAGCGAGAAAGAGCCTAGAAATATTTAGGAAGTAGAACTTGGAAGATGAAGGAGTTCTTGACTCAAGCCATTGGGTGTTTCCACTTGCTTCATATGCATGAGAAAGCTGGACCATAAAAAAGGAGAACAGAGAAGTGATGACTTTAAATAATGGTTTGATGAAAATAATAAATATATAATCAACTGCTAGAAGAACAAACCAATTTGTCTCAGAAGTATAACCAGAATGCACCTTGGAAATTGGGATTGGGAAGTGTTGTCTCACATATTTCAGACATATAATCAGTCCCTGGAGAAGGATACTGTGCTTGGTAGAGGGTCATTAAAAACGAGGAAGACCCTCAAGAAGACGACTTGACAGCATCTGCAACAATGTGCTCCGACATAACAATTGTGAGGTCGAGGTAGTACCTGTTTTATTCTGTTGTACCCAAGGTTGTTATAAGTCGGAACCAGTTCAATGACACTGAACCACAAGCACTTAAAGACCGGTTGGACACGTGAGAGAAAATTTAGGGTTTAAGTGTCTGAGATAAGAAACATAGATGGATTAGCAGGATTTTGCTACATGCATTAAGTTCAATATCCCTGCAGGGCAAACTAGAAAATGGAGCTAATAAACTGTTCGGAAAGGCCCTGTCCTAAATTCCAGGTATAAAAACTATGACTTAAAATATAACAAAACATACATTATTAGCATCATAAAGTTTACCATTTGAAAAGGGAGTGAGGCCTTGAGGGCTAGTTTTTCCTATTCCATGGAACTCTGTATCTGTTCTCAATCCTTATTGCGCATGGAGATCACAGCCTGGGAGGCTTTTCGAAAACTCTAATGCGCGGCGCTACCCCAGACCAATTAAATGACACTTTTAGCGGGTAAGGGGAAGCAAAGTATAAATTTTTCATTTTTGTTTTTAAATCTCCACAAGTGATTCACGACCACAGAGAGGCTTAAGAACTACCTTAGGTATCCATGTTACTAATCTAAAGTGTCATCTCCCAGATCACTTAAAATGAACAAATGAATGTGATATGCTTGGAACAAAGGTCAAGATATTTACCAGAAGTTTTAACACAAGTGAGGAAAGAACTTCCATCAGTCATTCCTGATGGATCTCTGAGTTTTGTATTCAAACTGACTCATCTTTTTAATTCTCATTGTAAAATACGCAACTTAAATGAAACTTCTATATGTATATCTTTTCTTCACATATCAGATTTGTATCAATGTATGTATAGAGGGTATCCAGAATGGAACTGGCTTCTTTAACAAGAATATACTTCTTATGAGGCCTTAAACAATATAAAACACAATGCATACCCAATTTAACACGGAAAAAAAATGTTTTCGTGGAGAAAAAGTCCCCTGCCCAGAAAAGCTACCTTTCTACTCTACTCCATTAGTCTCACTGACATTCTTTGCTTCTTCATAGTAAGAAGTTCATTGATTTGTTTACTATCTGTGTTCCTCCAAGAGAATGAAATGTCTTCTTTAGAATGAAATCTCATTAAACTTGAACAATATCAGGTAATACATGGGTCTCAATAAATATGTACTGAATGACTAGATGAGTAGGAATATGTGAATCTGTGGCTTAGAAGACAGTAGGGTGGAGACAAAGATATTCTGATCATAATCAAAGTCATGGAAATGATTATCACACAGAAAGTGTTTCTTGAGAGGGAAAAGAAGAGAACTAAACAAAGATCTTAAGAATTACCAATATTTCAGGGAAAATCAGATGAAAATGAGCCCAGAAAGGTAACTGCAAAGAGCGAGCCAAAGAGGTAGGGGTCAATGTAGGAAGTTAAGGGCATAATGCATTTCAAAAAAGAAATGAATAATTGCGAATGAGGGGGGGAGTGCAAAGTGGAGACCCAAAGCCCATTTGTAGGCCACTGGACATCCCTTTACAGAAGGGTCTCGGGGAGGAGACAAGCCAGTCAGGGTTCAATGTAGCAATGATGACACATACAACTTTCCTCTATTTCCTAAATGCTTCCTCCCCCCCAACTATCATGATCCCAATTCTACCGTACAAATATGGCTATACCAAAGGATGGACACTGGTACAGATAGGAACTTGAAACACAGGAAATCCAGGGCGGATGATCCCTTCAGGACCGATACTGGGAGGGTGGACGGAGGGTGGGTTGGAAAGGGGAAACTGATTACAAGGATCTACATATAACTTCCTCCCTGGGGGACGGACAACAGAAAAGTGGGTGAAGGAAGACGTCAGACAGGGCAAGATATGACAAAATAATAATTTATAAATTATAAAGGGTTCATGAGGGAAAGGGGAGCGGGGAGGGAGGGGAAAAATGAGGAGCTGATGCCAGGGAATTAGGTGGAGAGCAAATGTTTTGAGAATGATGAGGGCAATGAATGTACTAATGTGCTTTACACAATTGATGTATGCATGGATTGTGATAAGGGTTGTATGAGCCCCTAATAAAATGATAAAAAAAAGAAATGAATAAGAGAGGAAAGGGTTATAAAGAAGTCAAGTATGGTGACAATGGAATGTATACAAGGTATTTCACTACTGAAAGGCTGCTGCTAATGTGAACAAACGTATTTTTTACATTAATCTTATATCCAAAGTTGACATGGGATATTTCTCTAATGTGGAATAATTACATTATAGAGGCTACATGAATGCTGAGATACACCAAGATATTGAAATACTCAGAGGAGCCCTCATAGCATTGTGATTATGTGCTAAGCTACTAACTGCAAGATCAGTATTTCAAAAGCTGTCTACTCCTGTAAAGAGTAATGATCTTGGAAACTCACAGTGGTAATTTTACCCTGTCCTATAGTATCACCAGGTGTCGGTATCAACTTGATGACAGTGAGGGGTTTTTTATTTGTTTTTAATATTCAAAAATACAATCACCCTAAAATGGAAAGCACTATTCTATACGCAGTTAATCCACAGAATTGTTAAGACTATCTACAGTACTACTCATGTGATTTTCTTTAAGGTTGAGATATAGGTCCTACAAAGAAGACAAAGATCATGATGTTTACTCGGCAACTTTAGTCTTATAAAAGATGTACAACAGAAAAAATGGCTGCTAGTGCTGTCTTCGACCACTGCCAGAGTAACTGTCAATGTCAAATTGAACCTGAGCATTCAGAATTCTGTCTTTAATATTAAATCAAATGACACCCTGAAAAATCTTTCTGATAGACTAAATACAGGATTACGTCAATAACAAACACATTGCCATTGACTAACTGTGTTATATTAAACTATGTGTCCCTGGCCCCAAATATAGGTGCAATCAAGATTAAGAGAAGAAAAAACAAAAAAATCACCAAAGCATGCTCTCTCTCTCTCTCTCTCTCTCTCTCTCTCTCTCTCTCGTGTGCACACACCCAAGAACATGTAAAAACACACATTAATGTAACAGAAACCAGCATCTATAAATACACACATGCAATCTGGTAATATAAGCTCTGAATGAGTGATAAAGAGGGACGAATTTAAAGAAAACCAGAGTAAAACTCAAGTCATCTGAAAAGGCTCTGAAGAAAAAGCAGGGCATAAGTTTAGCCTTAAAGTCTGGTAAGATTTTAAGTGAATGGTGAGGCCAACCAATCATAGGAATGCTGGGTAAAAAGTATAAAGGTGGGACTGCATACAGTACACAGGAAAAATAAGTTGGTTAGGTCCGCTGAGATGGAAGACTCTTATGAGAAATGTACATTGGAAGGTGACTAGAAGCTAGATCACGGATGACTTTGAATATCAAAGGTGTTTGGACTTTATTTTTTACATAATTAAATGTTTTTGAGAAATCTAGGAGATATGAGCAGAGTATTATTTTGAGAATAATAATTTGCCAGAGCATGTAGAATAGATCAAATGGATAAATGGAAGCAGAAAGAACTTATTAAGCAACAGAAGCTTCTTGTTGACAGACCCCATCTAGATCTGTACATTCTTGTACCCTCAACAAACAAAATATTTTTAAACTCAATGACACGCAAACATTGTGCTTATCTATTCAGACACTGTACCCACTCACCATTTAATATACTTATCTTCAAGGCTCACAAGCAATCCTTAGAACATTTATGAATAGTTTCCACTGTATAACATAATTAAAAATCAGTTTGGTGTTTCCATTAAAATAACCTTTTAACTATCAAAATTCTGCATGTAATTCATTTTACTTTAACAATTCTGTGAAGAATTAGGATAGCTGATTTTTTTTTCAGCTTTAGAAATATATTTCTGGAAAACAGTAACAAAAATGCCAAAAGGGAAAGGTCACACCCACCACTGTCATTTAAAAGGCCTGCATCTCAAATTTCCAAAAATAATCCCAATCTGAGGCATCTGATTTCATAAATCAGAAAACTTCCAAAACAATGACAATCCATTACTTTTCATGTAAATATTTCTGTTAACTGATAACATTTCATTAAAATTACCTTTATTTTTGGAATATCCAAAGACAAAAAACCTAAAAATTACTCCTGAAAATTACCATTTAAGAGCAACTACACAAAAGTGAGTCTACTCAATTGTGAAATGCCTTGTATAATTTATCAGTTTTGGGGACATTTTATACCAGTTGATGTCATAGGTTTTCTGAGGCCACATTGTCTTAAATGTAAATCCAAATTATCTGAAATCTCTTCATCTTAATTGTGCATGACAGTACATGGTGGTGGGGGACTGTGGGACATTAGGACTCCATGAAATTGCGCTGCTAGAGAAAACGCCTGACGTGAGAAAAACAGGAATAACCGAAAAAGGCCTTTCCTTCAACCAGCTATGCATTACCTTCAACCAGCATTTCCCTCACTAAGGATAGTGATACATGTGCCATTAGCGCATAGTTAGTCATTAGTCTAAATAATTTATATGCATTATCTGTATTAGTCCTCACACTACTCTGCAAGGCAGGGAATGTTATCAGCCCCATTTTACAGGTTTATGTCTCTATTTTATAGTCAAGGAAACAGGCAAGGTATGCTGGAACTGGGGTTCACTCTAGGATTGAAGTTCTTGACCATTCTATGAGGGAAGTACCCCCCCCCAAAAAAACTGGATTTGTATTCCCAAAGCTATGTATTTAATTTCTTTCTTTTTTTTTAACAAAACACAACCTTATCACATTCAAAGTACTCTCCATTACACTTAATACATTTGTCAAGTCTGCTATTCCACTCTTAGAAACAATTTTCAAACTCATCTGTTTGGATGGGTGACAGCACCTCCTCGTTTTTTCTTCATCTCTTCTACGTCATCAAATTGCTGTTCTTTCATGTCCCTCTTCATTCAGGGGAACAAAAAGATGTTGCATGAGCGAGATCAAGTGCAAGAGTGGCGTATTACTTTTTGCCAAAATTTGGCACACTGAAATGCCTACGTGAGCAGATGTATTGTCGTGGTGGCAAAAATCTGACACAAATCAGGCCTTTTTGTTGTACACTGTTACACAATCTTTTTAGACCTCTAAATAGAACACTGATTAACAGTCTGACCTGATGGAATGAACTCCAAATGCACTATCCTCCCTCACATCAAAAAAACAAATGAATATCATCTAGATCTTTGATTTCACTTGATAAGCCTTTTATGGACGAGGTGGTGTTTGCTTTCAGGGTCCTAAGAATAGCACCATGTCTCATCACCAGTAATGGCCTTAAAAAAGTCTGGATCGCTCCAACGCTTTTCTTTCAAAGCATGGTATGTTTCCACTTGACACTATTTTTCCTGCTCAGACAAAACCCTAGACACATATTTTCCAGCAACCTTTCTCATTCCCAAATTTTTCATTAAAATTCACTGAACTGAGCTCCAAGATAGTCCAGATAACATCCCCATCTCTTCAATGGTCAGTCAAGGTCTTAGAGTACAAGTACATGAATTTTGTTGACATTTTCATCCATTCTGGAAGATGTCGGACATCGAGAACAAGGTTTATCATCAACTGACATTTCACCTTTTTTGAAACGAGAAAACCACTCATACACTTTAGTTTTTCCCATAGCACTGTCCTCATAAGCTGTACTCAATATCACAACAGCTTCGGCAGCATTTTTCCCAAGCAGGAAACAACATTTCACAGCCGCACACTGTTCTCTTAAATCAGCCATCACAAAAATTGAGGTTTGATCAACCTGCTTTTATGAAAAAATTCACTGTGATCAAAGAGAGCCTTCCCAGGCCACACCACTGGGTGCACTAACTTAGAGTGAGTTGCTCAATGCTCGCCTAAAGGGAAAAATTCGTACTAGGAAAGCTTCAACGGGCAGAGCTTTTTCTGGTTTTGTGGGGGTACCCCCTTGTACTTTCATTACAGCAATTACTGAACATACTGGAAAACAGATGTCTGCCATTAGTTTGCTTTTTTGTTGGTTTGCTTGTTTTTACATTTTTTAGCTTATAGTACATATACCTCCAGATATAATGTAAAATAATGATTAACCTAAATATAAAAGAGCACTAAAGCAAGGAACCCATTATAGGAAACTTAACTAAATAAAATTTTACAAGCTGCCTGCATGTGCTATTTGTTGTTTAAATTAGATGGAAAGGAAATAGGGCAAACAGTACTTACAGCTGTTATGAGAGTGGCTTTCAAAACAATAAAAGTGCTACGTGTAAAGCAAGAGCTAGAGCTATACATAGCATAAACAAAAAAGAATCAAACAAGGTACAATGAAGATTTGCAGCAAGGCCGTTTTAAATGCATTGCAAAAGACTGCCAAAGTAGTTAATGTTCCTCTTTATTTCTTATTTCTCCATTATAAATTTTGTGAAAATATGCTTCTGGGATAAAAAAGAATGGCCCTCCATTTGATAAGCTTTTGATTTTTCTCTATTGCTCTCTTTCCTTAAATTATTCCCAAATAACTTAGGGAAAGTAATTTAGGGTCAGTCACAGGTGAATATAGCTTATTAGGGTGAAGAACGAATTAAAAAAGGCTATCAAGAAGTGGCAATTTTGGGACAATCAGAAATGGGATGTAGTGGAGGAAGGCTGGGAGACAATCACTGATCTTCATGGAAATGGAGGGCATGCAAAGGAGTAAGAAATGGAATATGAAGCAGTACGTGCAAGGTGTCTCTTCTGATTAGCCAAGAGTATTTGGATGAGGCAAGGGAAGATGGGCCTTTATAGGGAAACAACGGTCCTATAGATTCCTGAGCTTTCAAAAAGGGTTTAAATCGGCCCAAGGAGAAAGGTGGTGTCTAATTGTAAGAAAGGCCAACATTAAGATTAACCATAATGGAAGCATGCAAAGTTCAAGAACGTCAGCTGCAAGGAAAGCATTTTAAGGGAGAAGATGGCTCAGGAGCTGCAGGAGGGCAGCAGAGAGACAGAAGCAGGTTAAACAAACAAGGGATAACCTGGGCTGGATGAGAACAGGGGCCATGAGCAGGCAGGGACCTTGGAAGGCGAGGACAGGAGAAAGAAGCGATGGGTCGAGCTGGGGGCGCAAAGAAGTAAAGCGGGGCCGGGGGCGAGGGTGTCGCAGGTAGTAGGAAGAGAGGAAGCTCCCCAGAGACTGCCTCAGGGGGGCAGTGGGGGGCAAAGGTCAGGCGGACCCCGCGAGGGGAGCGCACAAAGAAGGAAGCGGGAAGAAGGAAGCCCGAGCAGCCCAGCCGACCGCGGGAACACGGGGCTACTGCTGGCGCAGGCTTCGAGCCCAGCACTCGAGGGGCCAGGGGCCGCCCAGGCAGGAGCGGGTGATGGGCCCGGTCTCCCAGCAGGGCGAGCGCAACGGGGGACCGTGGAACGCCCGGAGGGGGTGCCCATAGAAATCGAAGCCGAGGGCAGAAAGCGAACCCCTCGGTGAGGGGGCGGAGGCCCAGAGCTCTCCCGCAGGCAGACGGCCCCCAAGCCTACCTGACAAGCGGCGGCCGCGTCCCCCGATTATTGCCGGAAGTCACCAGCTCCCTCTCGAGAAGCGCCGAGGGAAATCCCCGCCCCCGCGCCGCGCTGATTGGCCGGGGCGGCCTCCGCGTGGCAGTGTTGCTACCCGGGCCGTGGGACACGGAGACTCGCCTCAGTCACGGGTGGCCGGCAAGTTGTGCACATGCGTAGAGAGCGCCGCCACGCCCCTGCTCCGCGCGTGCCCGGTCTGCGCGTCGTGGAAGAAAAAGGGGCGTGCGCAGCGCCAGGGTTCAGCCTGGGGAGGGAAGCACTTGGGACTTTATGGATTGGACTGGGCTGCTAAGTAGAGTGATCAAAAGGGCATACAGCCACCTCCTGATACACTCTCAGAATTGCTTTACACAAATTATATAGCAGTTCAGGTTCATGATTCACAATGCTAATGACAATGATCAATACTTAGAGGTAGACCAAAATGGAAGGTCCCTATTTTAATCTTTATGTTTTGATAAAACTTGTCTAAAGGAAGTAGTAATATTTGTTCTTTAAAAGTATCTATCCTGCTCTAGTATTAACGGCTGCTGGACTGAATGCTGGACTGAATCTCATATTCCACATTAAGCTATTTTCACACTTGTGTGTGTGTGTGTGTGTGTGTGTGTGTGTGCGCGCGCGCGTGCGCGCGCGCGCGCGCGCGCGCGCAAGAAACTTAATGGGAAATTTTTATCTTGCACACACATTTAAGTAAAAATTAAAGAAATCATAATAAAAATATTAAATGTGAAGCTATTGTTTCTTGACACATCTTCTATGTCTATACACTTAGGGCAGTAATTCCAACTCTCTGGTCCTTCCCACAGAGTTCTGCAGTTCTCGATTCACACCATGTCAAAATGGCAGTTTGGGTATCCTCCAAAACAAGTCCACAGGAGCCAAAATGCAACCTTGAATCTATCCCACCAGAACTGTAAGGACATCTCAAGAACAGTTCTGACACACTGAACACTAATGAGAGAAGAACCAATGAGCTATGGGATGATATGGGGAACATCGATCATGAAGAAAGCAAATGGTCATTAAAAAGGCCAGAAACAAATAAAAAAATCAAAGTGAATGTTAGAAGAGACTCTAAAACTTGTTCTTAATCTTAGAATTTCAAAGGGCAGCTCAAGAAGACAAAGCCAAATATTGTCCAAAGACCTAGAGTGAGAAAGCCCAAAGGGAAGCACACCCTCAGCATGTCTTAACCTGAAAGAACTCCAGAAAAAATCCACGCCTCAGGTTGTAAGTTTCTATGGGAACAATATTGGATGATGCAGGAAGCATCAAAAGAAGAAGGAAAGAATACACAGAGTCGCTGTGCCAAAAAACTAGTCGACATTCACCATTTCAGGAGGGAAACTATGAGAAGAACCAGTGGTAGTGAAGGAAGAAGTTCAAGCTGCACTGAAAGCATTAGCCAAAAACAAGGCTGCAGAAATAGATAAAATGCCAATTGGAATGTTTGAACAAGCTGATGAATCACTCGAAGTGCTCATCTATGGCAGGAAATTTAGAAGACAGCTATTTGGCTAACTGACTGGAAGAGAGCCCTATTTGCACCCATTCCAATGAAAGGTAACCCAACCGAATGTGAAAATTATACAGTCATATCATGGATATCACATGGAAGTTAAATTTTGCTGAACAACATCTAACAAAGTTTTCAGCAATACATTGATAGGGAACTACCAGAGGCAGATTCAGAAAAAGACATAGATCAAGGGATCTAATTGCTGATGTCAGAGGGGTTTTGGTTCAAAGCAGGGAATACTAGAAAGATATTTACTTGTGTTTTATTGACTATGCCAAGGCATCCGGCAATGTGGTTCATAACAAACTATGGATAAACTTGAACAGAATGGAATTCCTAAACATTTCATTGTGCTCCTGCAGAACTTGTACATAGATCAAGAGGCACTTGTGTGAATGGAACAAGGAAATACTGTAAAATTTTACATCGGGAAAGGTGTGGGGCAAGGTTATATCCTTCACCATACTCTATTCAATCTGTATGCTGAGCAAATATTTGGGAAATTTGGATTATATGAATTAGAATGGAGCATCAACATTGGAAGAAGACTTCAATATGTAAGTGACACAATCTTGCTTGCTGAAAGTGAAGAGGATGTGAAGCATTTGCTAATGAAGATCAAGGATTTAAGCTTTCCATATGGATTACTGCTCAGTAGAAAGATGGCCCAGTCCTCACAAGTGTACCAATAAGTAACATTATGATAAATGCAAAAAAGATTGAAATTGTCAAAAATTTTATCTTGCTTGGGTCCACAATCAATGCTTATGGAAGCAGCAGTCAAGAGACAAAATAAAGCATTGCATTGGGTAAGTCTGTTGCCCAAGACCTCTTTAAAGTGTTTAATAACAAGGATGTTACCTTAAGGACAAAGGTGTGCCTGACCTAAGCCATGCAATGTTCGATGGCCTCACATGCATGTGAAAGTTGAATATTGAATAAGGAAGACTGAAGAAGAACCAATGCATTGAATTGTGGTGCCAGCAAACAATATTGATAATATCATGAACTGAAAAAAGGGTAAGCTAATCTGTCTTGTAAAAACTACAGCCAGGATTCTCATTAGAGACAAGGACAGTGTGACTTTGTCTCACAGACACTGGACATGTCAGGAAAGACCAGTCTCAGAAGAAAGACATCTTGCTTGGTTAAGAAGAGGGGCAGAGAAAAAGAGGAAGGCCCTGGACAAGATTCATTGCCACAGCGGCTGTAACAATAGGCTCAAACAAGTAACAATTGTGAGGACGGCACAGAACCAGGCAATCTTTTGCTCTATTGTACATACGGTTGCTAGTGGTTAATGGCACCTAACAGTAACAAAAGCAACTAAAGAGACTGGGACAATTGCACGACTGAGAAAATTTGTATGTAGTGATGCACTGAATGTATATGAGTGCATGTATAAACATGTTTTGTTTGGAATAAATCTATGCATGTATAAACTGGAACCTTAGTAGCAATTTTTTTAATCCTTCCTTTGGTGTATACGTATATATAGTATTTGTTCTCTCTCTCTTTTTTGCTGCCGTTCCACTTTAGCAAACATGATGTCCTTCTCCAGGGACTGATCTCTCCTGACAATATGTCCAAAAGTATTGAAGACAAAGTCTTCGTAGAGGGTCAACAAAAAAGAGGAAGGCTCTCAATTAGATGGACTGACATACATAGTGGCTGCAACAATAGGCTCAAGTATATCAGTGATTGTGAGGATGAACCAGTGTTTCGCTCTGTTGTCCATCTGGCCATTGTGTATCAGAACTGACTAAGGACACCTGACAACAAGGACAAAAAGTTTATTGGTTAATGGTCCTTAAGTGTATATTATTTCTTTAAATAAATCTTTAAGAATTAAAGAAATTATATGTGATGATTTATCTTTATAGAACTCTTGGATAAACACATTTTCAATGTCCTTCATTGTTCAAACCCTTGAGAAATAAAATTTAGAAATGAAAATCAAAACTGATTCTTCCTGGTTCAGTCACCTCTAAAACAGAACCAGAATAAACTGGAAGTTTAAAATTCTGGGTCAATCAGAATGATAACTCTACTGGGAAAAATTACAAGTCAGATTTTTGCTAGAAATATAATCTCTGCCTCAAAACCAAGGGGAGTTTATGAGTTGCCTAGCAACCAAGTAGCTTGCCCTTGGAATTCTGAGTAGTGTCAGACCCAATGGTAAAGGACAGTAGCCCAGCTTGGATGGTGTGTCTCATGCATCTGTCTCCTGAAAGGGTTCAACACACCACTCTCTTTTATCCACAGTTCTTCCTTTTCCAAAATTAGAAATATGGATCGGTTCCAGTTTTGCCTCCTTGGCCATGACTGAATCAGTTTAAGCCAGTCCAAAGTTCTGGAAAATACGCACATGAGGGCACAAAGATATAGTTCAATGATATACATAGTAATATTTTTATAAGAGTGAAAACTTGGAAACAAAGTTAGTGCTCATTAACAAGAGAATGATTAAATATATTGTTTTGCAGTTCCCAGCAATCAAAAAGAATAGCATCTGGGGTCTTAAAGTTTTGTATTCAAACAAGCAGCCATCTAAATGAGTTTCCAACTAAGTCCACATGGAAGAAGCACACCAACCTGTGTGAGTCAAGGATGATAAAGAACAAAATCCAAATATGAAGGAAGGAAAGTTACCAGAGCTTAAATTAAAAACACCCAGTTTGCCAAAGGCTATGGATGACAGTGGGAACCCGAAATCCATCTGCAGCATCCCTACATAGATTAAACCTCTGCTGGAAACCCGATAACTACAGTGGAGGAGTGTGAATAACCTTGTTAGCAGACAGTAAACTGGATATGGCAGATGTAATTATGTTAAAATATGGTACTTTGTCATTCGATCTTTTTGACACATTTGGGATTTATTCTAGTTTGCAACAGTCCCTGCTTTTTTTCTTGCCAAAGGTTTTTTCTCTGGTTTATTTTAATATTGTTCTTGGTTCTTTGTTTCTTTCTCTCTCTCTCTCTCTCATCTTTCTTTACCTATTTGCTGTTTTTGTTATTATTTTGGTATGTTTTCTAAAGTATGCAAAGCACAAGATGGGCTTATGTAGAGAGACAATAACTGGTGTAATGGTTAAGGGGAATTTCAAGGGAAATGAGGATGTGGAACAGTGGTTCTCAACCTTCCTAATGCCACTACCCTTTAATATAGTTCCTCATGTTGTGGTGACCATAAAATTACTTTTGTTGCTACTTCATAACTGTAATTTTGTTAATGTTATGGATTATAATGTAAATATCTGATATATAGGATGGATTTTCATTTTTTCAAATTGAACATAATTAAACATAATTAAAACATAGTGATTAATCACAAAGCGATATGTAATTATATATTGTGAAATATTTGTTTTCTGATGGTCTTTGGCAACCCCTGTGAAAAGGTCATTCGACCCCCGAAGGGGGCATGACCCACAGGTTGAGAACTGCTGATCTAGAATAAAGAATACAGAAGGAGGGGGTGTCCTGGAACTGACTGTGGAGATG